ATACTTGTATTGAAAACATTGAATGATAACTGAACCACATAGATAACGTCTGAACATCAGGTAAATTTTTATATTTTCAAGTTGAACATATTGGTCATGTCTTAGATGAGCTATAGTGCTCTGCGAATTCATATGAAAGATACGCTGATGAAATGAATATACTTTTGTTTTTTAGTCGATTAACTGCTACTTACATGTTATGATAATTTACCTCATCCACAGGTTCGAATTAATATCCATCAATATTGACCAACCCTATTACAAGTAGAGAAACTGATAGCGAACAGCATGGATCCTGATCAGACTGCATGGATGCGCAGGCTGGTCTGGATCCATGCTGGTTGCAAACGCATAACTTTGGTTTTGTCATGAAGCGGCTCATTTAAGTGTAAATAATACTCATCTCCATTCAAAGGACATATTTGGACATTTAATAATCATAAATGTAATTGATATAATATAAAATAATGTCATGCAAGTAATTACAAGATGTACTTGTAATTCTGTTTAGCCGTTTTTCGCTCAAGAGTACAAATGATTGACTTGGGGGTGTCAATTGGCCTTTTTTTCTTATTTAGTAACATAATTATGCTCTCACCAAAGATACATTTTGGGAAGATATACATGTAAATAGATCCCATAATTAAGTTTTTTAGCAATATTGGTAAATTATTGCCCAGTACTGTATTAGATTGTTGATTCGATTTTATACTGACATTGTCTATTAGGTGCTTGAAGGAAACATTGTACGTATGAAGTATTGCCGTATCAAGGCAGTTTTTTTTTATATCCTTTTGGGAAACCGACAATGGTAGAGTAATGCAAAGTGCATTGCATGTTAATGTTTCATTTCGGAATTGTACATCTTTCTTGGAATTGCATGTCTTGCTTACATATACGTCAAGTTCCTGATTTATTTTTTTATTTTTTGTATATTAATCTTCATAACGAAATTTAAAGCATAAACATTTTTTTTCTCTAAAGATGGCAACATTTTTTGTATGATTGTTTTCTTCCCTGTGAAATAGAAGCTCCAAAACATACATTGGTCATATTATTTGTCACATTTGTGCGGTAACGGGTTAACTTCTGTTAAAATTCAATACAAGTTAGCTCTTTACTGCACTTAAATTTGGTGATAATATCAAGGTTCACTGGAAGATTAGATTTTATTTTGTTCATGTAATTTGTCCAAAGAGAGGTCTTACTGCTGTGTGCATGCTTATATCAATGAAAAGAAGAATTATGGTGATTTGAAGCAATGAGAGATCTGTTTTTCCTTTTCTTAAACACGGTAATTCAATATCAATGTGGCTAAATGTAAGAAAAGATGTATTATTACATTAGAGGAAGACCCCAGTAATTTTACACTGGAGATTTCCAGACATTTGCATATGATGGAAATTTAACGAAGTTTTGCTTCCAATGCTAATTGCAATCTCTCTGTTCCAGAAATGCTTTTATTGTTGGTAGCAACAAAGCTTGGCTAATAAATTCTGAGGGTATTTAGTTTGTATCCTGTATCAATATTGTACTGTCGTAATTACTGAGGGATATACTCAGTTTTATATTGTGATAGCATACTCGCCATGTCCTAACAGTGCTCTCCAAGGAGGGCTTGATAGCTGTGATATTTAATATTTTATGATGTTGAACAGAGAAAAAATGGAGGATAAAAGAGGATAGCATTTATGTCCCAAGGTGCACACAAACAAAAGTTAATTAAGCATGTTATAAAATCTCTGGACATAAGCAGGCTAAGGCTTAAATTTTGAGGACTTGTATGAATAAGTTTAAAGGGACTCCACTGAAGTTTTTTGACATGATGGGAGTGGATTGGAAATATTTTTCCTAGATTTATGTACCATCTGATGAAACCTGAACCAATATTACTTGTGTGTAAATTTTCAGATCATTCCCACGAATAATCATTTTTTTTGTGCAAAATGACTCAAAACGTTGCAATGCTTTTCAATCAAATCTGAGACTAAGAACTGCACTTAATAATGATTTTCAATTTGATTAGTATATTAGTATATTTGCAGTTTTTTCCATTTTAATTGCTTCACTTCATCCACAATTACAATATGTAAAAAATCCAAATTTTATTGTAGGCTTTATGACCTCAGTGGAGCTCTTTTAAAACCAGACATAGCTTTCCCTTGCTTTTACCATAAAAGCTTCTCCTCAAAAGAGTGATGAACATGTTGTGTTAATTTAATAATCGCTATGTTTTGTAAAAGTTTGTTTGCACCATGGGATTTGATGGTGAAAACCCCACATTTGCAGACAGAACCCCACATTTCAGTCAGAGTATCTCTATAGGAAAATCAAGATTACCACTTAACCTCACAATGGTTGTAGGAATATACCAAAAAATTATTTTATTGAATTGATAACTTTGACCTAGATATAAGGGAAATACCAATTTAGGAAATGGGGCATGATTGATAGGATATTGAACATGCCAAGTAATTCATTAGAATTGTTATATCATTCTTTCTTAGAGATCAAAATCATTAACTTTTCTTTCCCTTCATGAATTTATCAAATATTTTTTATCAATTTGTTATCCAGTTCAGTTTGCCCAAATGTCAAGCAGAGCTATTTGTATACATTTTTGTGGATCATCTATGGGGAAACTCATATATATATGGAATGATTGAGCCACAGTAAGGGATTTTATATGATCTTATTCCTTAGAAAGTAAAATTTGAGTGATGTTGATGAGAGTCAGATTAAATTTTTCATATGCTCACAATGTGCAGTAAATGTTTGTGCCATAAAAAACTTGCACTGTGCCATTAAAAATCATCAATTTCCTATGCCATGTAACTTTGTTCTGTAGTTAAAACCCAAAGAGTTTAACATGAAATAGGTTCTACAAAAAATTTCTCATCTTTTTACAACTTAACTAATGTGGCTGGATATGGCTTAGTAATTCCTTGTCTAATTTTCAAAAAAAGAAGAAACATTTTTGCATATTAGCTTGGTGTTTTTGTTTGTTTAAACATGCCGAAAATTTCTTCTGGCATTGGAGATGCAATATGAGTTGCATATACCAAAATGACGTTTTTTTTTAAGTGTTTTATGTTTGTTTGTTTTGGGTTTTACGTCACATCAACACAGTATAGGTCATATCGCGACGTTCCAGCTTTACTGGTGGAGGAAGATCTCAGGTGCCCTTCTGTGCATTATTTCAGGCACGAACGGGCACCTGAGTAGAACCAACGACGTTCGGTAAGCTAGCTGGATAGCTTCCTCACATTAAAGAATCCAAAGTCCCTGTCGTGATTCGAACCCACAGCTGTGAAGGGCAAGTGATTTGAAGTCAACGACCTTAACCACTTGGCCACGGAGGCCCCAAGTGTTTTATGAATGAACTGCATGTCTAGGATGACTTTATTTCCCAGTTTCATTGCATTGCATTGCTTTTACTTTTGGTGTTCATGTTTGCACTGAAAACCATACAACAGAGCACATACAATTTACAACAAAGGTGCCCTGTAACTTGTATGGCAATATAGATGAGACATGTGGACATAAAGCACTCCACAACTTGAAGATAATCGCTATGACAACATAGAGGGACTTCAGTGGACAGCATGATGGAAGTGACTGTATGGAAAGGCAAACAGCAAGAAGAAGACTTTCTTAAACACAGTTCAAGAAGGCTGTAATTTGTTTTATCAGCAATGAACTTGTTAAATTTAACCCATATCCCACTAAATATTTGAAATGAACTTGCCTGTCTTTCAAACTGTCAAAACTATTTGTTATTAATTTTGTAGAGAAAATTTGAACAGACTAAATGATCGACAGTGAATACGACAATCAGATGACATGGATGAGCTTGCTGGTCTGTATAGGTTGCATGGGTAAAATATGTTGCCACCAGCCAGCTGAGAGTTTTAAGACTTAAAGAACAAAAAGTGTATATGTTATACCCTCAATACACTTATGTCATAATTTCTTAATAAATTTATAATACAATCAAGAATGACAGCTTTGATGGAAATCAAAACAGTAATTTATCTATTGGGAATTGATACAAAGAACAACATACAAATTAGTTACTAATTTTATTGATTTAGCAACAGAATACGGACAATTTGTCAGGTAATAATTCCTGCATAGCGTGATTGGCTTTAGACAGACTTCTGTAGATCACTTTACTTTGCATTTTCTAATCCCTCGAGGTCCTCTGTGAGATTTACTCAGTGAAACTTTCTGATTATTTTATCATCAATGTGCATGCCGTTGATAATTTATTTACATGATTTGGTTACATTTGATTGGTCAAAAATATTTGATAATGCTATCAATGCTAGAATTTGTATAATGTATTTATAATGTCCTTTTATAAATGAACTAATCTAGGCTTGCAAGAGGTGAACTATTGTCTTAAGTCAGAAGATCCATACTTGTGTTTAAAGCTGTTCCTAAACCACTTGGTAAGTTTAATAAAAAAAAAAATCATAGGTTTCTTAAGTGAACCCCTAACAAAGGTATGAAAAAAAATTGTTGAAATTTGCTTAAATTTTAATTTGCATAACTTTTATATATTTGCAGATTTGATTTATACTTAAGCAAAAGAACACATATGACAAAACTGGTGTGTTAAATTATTCTTATAATTATGACCTTGACCTTTTATTGACCTTGATTGTCAAGATCAAATTATTGAAATTTCCTTAAATCTCCTGAAATATACAATTATTTTATCTGAGTTTGACAGTGAAAAAAATTAGTGTAATATCATTTTAATGAAGTGACTGTCAAGATTATTAACTAACTCACTATAATGGACTATTTTTGAATATTTTGACCTTTATTTGGTAAAAGTACCATTTGCAATGTTTAAATTACTTTTTTTTGTTCACTTTACAATATTTTACTCTTTAATACATTTTCAGAATTTTTATGAAAATGAGCATGAATCTTGAGGTATGCTGTTTTAAAGTTGTTTTGTATTTTATTGTACTTCTAGACAGACCTACCTGACTGGAAGGTTAAGGACGCACCCCACTTCCTCAGCTTCTATTAACTGCAATGACTAGAAATTATCTAGGGATGTTGTTTTCTTTAATGACTGCATGTAACTGCTGGACACCTCTGAAATGACATTTAGTAAAAACTTAAATATAAACCTGATTATAGTACATTTATAAAAGCTTTATCATTCATTTTAAGTTCTAGATGAGGGGAGAAATTTTAAGTGAATTGGTCTAAAATGGGAGGCCTCTAATACCATGAATAATGTTGTTGATGGTATTTAGTGTCACACATGACAACAAACAAGGAAAGAATTTTATAATGATGTACATGATAATGTTAGAAACGTGATCCTATATTACACATCTAGCAGATAAATATTTGTTTTTTTCTAGAACAAAAAACTATTTTTCATCTTGTGAATGCTGACATAATAAATTGCTTGAAACTCAATATTGTTTTTTCCAAGAAATATTTTATAAGAATATCCAAATGATACATTATTTCAATAGATATTTGAAATACTAATGGAAAATGTGTACATTATGCATAACTCTCATTTGTGACATTTTTTTGTCTCAATGGTAATGGATAGTGACTCTAATAGTTTTAAGTGAGCATTTATCTACCATTTACAGGTTTTATGATATTAACGAAGTTGTAATAAAACTAAAGATATATACAATATTGTGTAAGAAGTCTCACTTTATCTGTGATACATGTTGTATCATCAGCCTAAATATACCTATGGTACATAGTGTATCATGAGCCTAAATGTATCTGTGGTGTATAGTGTATCATGAGCCTAAATGATTCCATGGTAGTGTATCATGAGCCTAAATGTTTCTATGGTAGTGTATCATGAGCCTAAATTTATCTGTGGTATATAGTGTATCACCAGCCTAAATGCAACTATAGTACATAGTGTATCCCGAGCCTAAATGCACATATGGTACATAGTGTATCACAAGCCTAAATGCAACTATAGTACATAGTGTATCCCGAGCCTAAATGCACATATGGTACATAGTGTATCACAAGCCTAAATGCAACTATAGTACATAGTGTATCATCAGCCTAAATGTAACTATGGTCCAAAGTGTAGTATGAGCCTAAATGTTTCAATGGTACATAGGGAATCATTTTAAACCTAAATGTATCTTTGGTCAATAATGCATCTTGAATTGAACATATATTTTTACCAATAAGCTGTGTAGGATTAATTTAGTGCTATTCCAAGTTTAACAGTTTTCCTTATGATTGAGCAAAACAGAAAGATAGTAATGATACTGCCACAAGTAGAGGATTATAGTAAAGATAATCATCAGTACTCCATTAGAATAACATATCATATTAATATCTGCCTACAATCTGCTTTAAATCTGCATCACCCCTTGTGGACCATGTCTGATGCAAGTGTATATATTGCTTCTTCTAAAATATGAAGTTAAAATTAAATGCAGTCATCTTAAAATCTGAACATAATCAGCTCATGTAAGCCATTAATATCTGTCATTAAATGTTGCAGTAATTTAGCTTAGGGTTGTCAGGGGAACAACTATCAGGCACTGGAATGACTACATCATGTTTCTAAATTGGTTGTCATTCATTGCGAATGTTTGAAAAATGATTTTGTAGAGATGCATAAGATTTTGATATTAGTTTGTCAAAATTGAATTCAGCAGGCATGCAGTATTGGATGTGGCAAGGTTAGACTAGATATAGCTGATTAATAGAAATAATATGATGTCATAATACATGTTGCTATTACTTGGGTATGGATCTAGTTTGCTATATGTGCTGGTAGATTTACAAGGAAGAAATTTTTTGGAATGATTTGCATAGTAACTTTTTTCACTGTAAATGTCTTATATGGACTTGTCTTAAACTTTTAATTCATGTTTTTTAGGGAAAATTTTAAAATATAAAGTGACTGAATAGCAAGCAGTACAGACCATAAACAGAAGGCAAAGATGGTGCCGTGCCAGCTGTCATCTAAATGGTCTGAAGTGGAAGCCTTTGTAGAATAATTTTGCTGCAAAGCAGACTAACAATTAAACTTGTTCTTTCCATGCTGATTTTGTGTAATAATAAAATTCAAATTTGAATTTAACTCCCTCTGAAAGTTGATAGCAATAACATGATATTCCCATACTTATCTGACATGCCCATACAAGTGGAGGGGCTTTACCTCGCATATTTATCTAATATAATATATATCTAATAAGTAGAGAGACTTCTCTTACATGCCCATACAAGTAGTACAAGTAGAGAGACTTCCTTTACATTCTTCTCTTTCATGCCCATACAAATGAATAGGCTAACCTTACATGCTATTCTGTATTATAAGTTTGATTGTATTATGTTAAGGCTGCTCTGTTGTATAATTTTGTACAATGACGGACATACCCATACAAGTGGAGGGATGCTTACCTCGCATACTTATCTAATATGCCCAGATATGTAGAGAGACTTCTTTTACATGCCCATACAACAAGAGAGACTTCTCTTACATGCCCATACAAGAAGAGAGATTTCTCTTACATGCCCATACAAGAGAAAGACTTCTCTTACATGCCCATACAAGTAGGGAGACTTCTCTTACATGCCCAAACAAGTAGAGAAACTTCTCTTACATGCAAGAAGAGAGACTTCTCTTACATGCCCATACAAGTAGGGAGACTTCTCTCACATGCTCAAACAAGAAGAGAAACTTCTCTTACATGCCCATACAAGTAGGGAGACTTCTCTAACGTGCCCAAACAAGTAGAGAAACTTCTCTTACATGCCCATACAAGAAGAGAGACTTCTCTTACATGCCCATACAAGTAGAGAGACTTCTCTTACATGCCCAAACAAGTAGAGAAACTTCTCTTACATGCCCATACAAGAAGAGAGACTTCTCTTTCATGCCCATACAAGAAGAGAGACTTATCTTACATGCCCATACAAGAAGAGAGACTTCTCTTACATGCCCATACAAGAAGAGAGACTTATCTTACATGCCCATACAAGTAGGGAGACTTCTCTTACATGCCCATACAAGTAGAGAGACTTCTCTTACATGCCCATACAAGTAGAGAGACTTCTCTTACATGCCCAAACAAGTAAAGAAACTTCTCTTACATGCCCATACAAGAAGAGAGACTTCTATTACATGCCCATACAAATAGAGAAACTTCTCTTACATGCCCATACAAGAAGGGAGACTTCTCTTACATGCCCATACAAGTAGAGAGACTTCTTTTACATGCCCATACAAATGAAGAGGCTAACCTTACATGCTATTCTGTATTATAAGTTTGATCGTATTATGTTAAGGCTGCTCTGTTGTATAATTTTGTACAATGACGGACATGTCCATCACAGAAATTTTGTTTGGTTAAAGCTTTTGTTACACATACACTGTTTTAGTACTGAATGGTTGAAAAGAAGCTCACTTGACATGTCTTAATGAAATGGAACTCAATTTAGTTATGTCACAATGTCACATTGCCAATACATTGATCTTGTTGACATCTTATAATGTTCTTGTTTATATTAAACCCTATCAGAATATATGAGTCAGTCTGATTGATTAATATAAGGGTCATTTTTACAAAACAGTCTTATATAATATAAAACCCAATGTAATTTATTAGCTGGTGATCAATATAATGCTGCTCTTTTGAGTTTTGGAAAAAGACAAATTTTCTTTCTTTCCGATTATGTATTTTTTAAGCCTTAATTATCACACTAAATGTCTTAGCACTTGTTCATCTTTCTATCTGGACAAAACCATCAATTGGAGGGAAAATTTTAAATCATGTTAGTGAATAGCAAACAGTGCAGACCATGAGCAGATGGTGCATATGTTTCAGCTGATCTTGGTCTGCACTGGTTGCCTTGGTAGAATCTGTTGGTTTTTACTAAACAAAGTTTTTGGCTGTTTAACAAACCTATAATTATACTCCAAGCAGTTATGCTTTTGGTGGATTTGTAAACTTTAATGTTGCCACCAAATGGTAATGTTACAGTACATTGTATTAAGCTAAATTTAGAGGAAGGTCAACCAGTGAAAAAAAAAGTAGAAGAAATAAGGATTCAATGATATGGTGATACCATGGCCAATGATGATTAGGGAATACAAATTGTGTTGTGTACAAAAATGGTGTAACACCTATGATTTTCTGTGAATTGTACACTTCCAGTTTTTTTATTTTTTTTAAAAAATTTCAAAAGTTTTAAAAAACCTTGAATTTTAAGATGGAAAAGTTCCAAATTGACACAAGAAAGGTCCCTTTTCAAAAAATAAAATTTGGTTTTTGATAAAAAGAAAAAAATGAAATTTTAAATTAAAAAGCATTTTTAGTGGGCTATTTTTATGCCATTTTTATTATTTTATTATTCATTTTCCCACGATTCAAGAGGGGAAACATTGATTTTGCTTTCTTTAGGGAATTAAAACCCCTCTAAAAACGAATAATGAAACACTCTTACATCATTAGAGCCAAGTAAAGGAGGTTAATTATATATCAATTTAATGGCAATCAAGTGAATTTAATTAACTCTACAGCAACTAAATTAGTTTAATTGGCTTGCCAGTGTTTTTTAATTTGGAACTGTCTGTCATTCTTTTAAGTAATTTCAAAATTTATTACTTATGAAAAAGGCCAAATATTAGCATTGAGTGGTATAGAGACGGATTAAGGCTGGCCCAAATTTTTCATGGTAGCAATTTAACGCAAATCATTAACAGAGCTCCCTTTTAATTTTAAGAATTTTATCAAATTTCCAATATGATTTTTTCAGTACATTTGCCTCTTAAATTCTCTCCAAGTGATGCCACTTTGCAAGCAATTGTGGCAATGTTTTTTTTCAATAGCTCTGAACAAAATGAATTATTTATTACAATTGTCAGAGAAGAAGCGATAAGGCTCCCTTTACTGCATTCAGTATGATGTAAGGTTATAAAAGATAGATGTTGTATAGTAAGCCAGATAAAAAATGTATCAAAGATCTGATTCTGTGTGACAGTCTAGGTCCAGATAGACTGTATTACATGAATAATGGTAGATACATTAAGATTTCTGTTTAATATCAGTATAAATTAAGTAAATTGAGTGGAGTATTTTTTATATGTTTAATGTATAATTCTGCTTACGCCAGTGCTAGCAGGGGTGGA